TAATTATTGAGGCCCCTACATCAAGGGTATGGCTCGTTGGGGTTGAAGGTTCTGGGGGAAACTGTAAAGCCCAAGAAGCCTCCCCAGATGTCTTGGTTCAACGCCATCAAACATGTGCATAGTCCAATATGAGAGTTTCCGAAAACAAGGGGTACCTTATTTTGGGGTTCTTATATTAAGGATCCTACTATTTAGGGTACTATCTTAGGGTCCCCTATTTTCGGAAACCCCCATATAGTCCTTTAGAAGCTGCGAACCCCCAATCCTTCAGGGCTTAAACAATAGGGATCAACAACGATGTCTGCCCAAGTCTTGATATCCAAAGCCTTGCACCCTGAAGCCTCAAACCCCAGGTGCCAATCCCAGAATTCCTGCCTGCTTCGCTTAACTGTGTCGGAGTCGCCGTCAGGACGATTTTACAAGCTGTCCAATTTCCAGCTGCATCGTACTGTAGTCAGACCTGCTGTGCTGCCTCTCACCTTCCTGCACCGCAACCATTCGGCTACGGTAGCCGACTTCTGCCCCTGCGGAGCCTTCGTCAGCTTCTGCGGCTGTCACCTCTGTGGAGCATCTGCCCAGGACCACAGCAACGCGGACATCGCATTCGCTAGCTTGCTCGTGGCGCATTCTGTGCGAAGTGTGGCAAGTCCACCTCTCGTCTTGAGCACCTCCGACTCAAAATGCTGCGGAACGTCTGTCCGTAATATAGGGGCCTTAATAGTTAGAATAGGGTTTTGGGGGTTCCTTATTATCATTATAGTATACTATACCCCGGCAAGTCTATTATCCCGTTTTGCCGCGTGATCCGTGGTCGGATGTGCCAAGGAAGACCCATTTTTCGGGCCAGGCTCGACGAGCAGGAGCGGCGTTTAGGGTTTAGAGTTTAGGGTTTATAGGGTTTAGAGTTTGGGGTTTAGGGTTTATTGGGCCTACCTTAACCTACCAAAACCTACTTTTTTGTAGGGTCCCTATTCCATAATAGGGTTTATAATAAGAACCTACAAACAACTAGGTTTTGGTAGGATAAGGTAGGGTATCAAGTTTAAGGATAAGGCCTGCCAGACTTAGAGCCCGAAGCTTTGCCAGCCTAAGTCCCGAATGCGCAATGTCGCAGAGAAAAAGGGGCTCCCTTTTTGGGCTTCTTATGATAAAGATCTTAGCAACAGGGGTTCCATACAAGGTTCCATTATTTCCGCAACTCCCAAAGAAAGAATCACAAGAGATTCGAGGCCTGACCATTTCAAGCGACTCGTGGACTTTGCGCAGGTCATGTGGACAATCCCATCAGCCTGGGCGACGTCGCAGAATGGCGGGCTGCCCAGACTGTTGGCAACAAGTGTTTTTGCCTTAAGGGCGTTGGATCTCGCGTTTCTCTCGCAGGCTCCATTGATGCTGTCACTGCCGCTCTGATGTTTCTTCATGCTTCTTTGTGTTTCATGAATATAGGAGCCTAAATAATTACCTATATTTTTTTTGGGGATCCATATTATAATTATAGTACAGCATACCCCAAAACCCTATTCTAATTATTAAGGTCCCTCTTTTAGTCCATTTCGCAACTGTTCTTGCAGTTCTGTGCTTGGTATGGTTTCTGACCTCTGGCTGCTTGTCTTTTGGTGCTGCCGTGCTCTTGCGGTGGGAGTTTCGGAAAATCAGGGGGTACCTTATTTTGGTGTCCTTGTAATAAGGGTCCGACTATTGAGGGTACTATAGTGGGTGGTCCCCTATTTTCGGAACCCCCCATGTGTTCTTGCGTTGGCAGTAGCGTCACTAGCATTGCTTTTTTGCCCCTTGCACCATTTGCCTGATGATGGTGTGATGTGGTTGTTTTCGTGATCATAGAAGCAAACGTGGTGGTGATGATGATGGTGGCGACCATGATCATGACGATGATGCCATCAAAGATCACCAGAGCGATGGCGGTCGTGCTCTTTTCGCTTGAGGGCTTCCTGATTTCGAGCATTCTCTGGGGTTCTATGATAGGGTCCCTTTGGGCTTCGAGGTTGCTCTAGGATTATAGGACAAATCGATATCCCCCAATTTGGAGGTTGTAGTCGCAGAGTCGGAGGTCTAAAGCTGGGTTTGGCGTTTAAGGTTTTTAGGGTTTGTAGCGTTCTTTTGTTTCTGGGGTTTGGGAGCTTCCAGGTTAGGGCTCTGGGGTGCGAAATACCTAAAGTCTCCAACTCTTTTCGCCCCGAGATCTCCCAAAAGCCCCAATCAGAGGCCCATCTCCCTGATGGGTAGTTCTCTAAAGGAGGGTCCATGTTTAGATCCAAAAAGAAGTACGGCACCTTCGAAGGGACCCTGGTTAAGAGAACTACACTCATATCCTCCCTAAGCCCTTGAGTCCCGAAAGAACCATGTATGGAGCCCTCATGAAACTTTGGGGGGGTGGAGGGGGTGGGGGGGATAGTATTTGATGGTTCAGGCCCACCCCAAACCTTTAAAACCCCTAAAACCCGGTGAAACCCCCGCAAAAATCCTAACCCCCCCCCTAAACCCTAAAGCCAAAAATCCTAAAACCCCCCCTAAACCCTAAACCCTAAACCCCTAAAGCTCCCCTAAAAACCTGGAAAAGCTCTGAGATGCTCAAAAATTTTCTGTGGTCAGGTCACAGGCCACCGCTCCGAGCGGTGCAAAGTCCGACCCAGAGGTGCCCCCCCCCCCCACCAAAGAGCAATAAACTAATGCTAACGATGATAACAACAAAAATACGAATATCAATACTGATTGATAATAACAATACAATAATACAATAATGCCAGTAAAAATAATAACAGTAATAATAGTAGGGTAATAAGAATATGGCGGTTGGGCGGGTTTCGGGTTTAGGAGTTCAGGGTTGAGGGCTTCGCTGCCTAAGGCCTAAGGGTTTGGGGATGAGCTTTTTCGGGGTTTAGGCCTCAGGGTTTAGGGTTTAGGGTTTAGGGTTTAAGGGTCATACCAACCCTGATTGCCTACCAAGCCCCAAACCCTGAACTGGGGGAGGCTAGGCTATGCGGGATTCGCAGGCAATCGGGGCTGCATAGTTTTGGGCTTCGGTGGCTTAGGGGAGTTTGCATCTTGATGGGCTTCAGTGACTTGGGTGAATTAAGCTGGTCTGGTTTAGAGTTTGGATTAGGGTCCTCAGGATTTAAGGCCTTGGGTCCACAAGGTGTTTTGGGGTTCAAGGGTGTTCTGTGGTTAATGAGTTTGGGTTTTTTGGGGATTACTGGCTCAGGGCTTCAAGTCGAAAGTCCTGTGGCGCCTTCAAGAAAGGAGGGGTCAATATCAGTAGCCAGGACTCCGCATGAAACTCATGATGCTATGGAGTGTGGGTTCATCATCTCTCCCCATGAGCTGCAATGTAGGCAAACAGGAAAGCCCGAAAGCCTTACTGTAGCCCTTAGCCCTAAGAGCCAGGATCGTGTTAATCGCTGGTAGCTGAAGTTAGAGGGTTGAAGCCCAAGCAAAGCAGCTACGAATACGGTAGTTTCAGTCAAAAGGGGCCTTCTAGAGCCCGAGGTTTAAGGACTTTGAGATTTAGGGAACTGTTAGGATATCGGAGCTTTGTCTTGCTGCCCGCGCTCAAACCGGAGCATCTGAGAGCCTCCTTGGGTTTCGCCAACTTGGCAGGCGCCGCAATACGTCGCCCTTGCTGAATTCGCCGGCTCTGCGGACATGCGGGGATCTTGTTAGAAAGAGGCGTTTCCGCGCAGCGAAGGTTTTGGGGATAACGTATTCCAAGTCATTTTTGCTGCGACGTGTGCCTCGGGTAGACGGTCTCGATCTCCTTACAACTCAGGCACAATCTCATTTGCAGACTCTGAGCATCCGGAGGTTAATCTCATGTTGCTCCACATTTGTCGATGGTCTCCTGTTGTCAGTGCCCGGAGTAGTCGAGAATCAGAGCCTGCGTAAATTTGCGGCTTCAAAGCTTGGGGATTTAGCTGCGCAGAATAGGCTCCAAGAAGAAGTTCAGCTAACTTCATGCTTTGGGTCCTCTCGACATGTATATGGTAGACAGGGTCAGAAGGAAGGAACCCTTCCCGCTTAGCCGCTTATCCGCCTCTGTCTCGATGAATGATATCGTCGCAACATCTGAATCATACCAGAGTTTGCTTGAAGCTTTCTGCCGATGGCCACGACAACCTCGCAGCTGCGGCTCCACGTTTGCTCACACTTGCATACCGGGATGCCATACGAGGACAGCCCCCTTTCCCCGTGTTTTGCTTCTATGCTGCAGCTCGTGGTGTATGGGTTCCCCCGCCTGAAGCTCAGATGCGTCCTCTTGAGGAAGAAGATGTGGAGGAAGAGATGGAGATGCAACGCCCGGGCACCCTTTTCGGGATCGAAGATGACTGCAGTGACTACAGCGACTACGTCAGCGGGTTCGGGAATTACCGTGGCTTTAGTGACTACGACGACTACGACGACCACGAAAGCTTCGACGACGGACCGTTTCTCCCTGGCGAGGAGAAAACGCCGGGAACCTGCTAGTTGCTAACATGGTTGCATCCGCTTGCCGCCTCTGAAGTCCCGCGTCCAGCTTATATATAGGCATACAGGTATATGTTACATACATGACATGCATACATGCATACATGCATACATATACATATACATACACATATACACATACATATCTAAATAAATAAAAAATAAATATATATATATATATATATACGCACATTGATGGCCGTAGCTGCATGTAAATTTGCGGGCGCAGCGCGCGACGATGTGACGACGTGAGTTTTGGCACGACGACGTGGCGACGTGAGTTTTGACGTGCAGACACGAAGCGCGTGACTGCACTGTAGGGTATCGGTAGGTAGGTCGGTCAATCGGTAGGTAGGTAATGTTTGAATATTCGATCTATTGTTACGAGTACTATGTATTTATTTATTGCCATTACCGCTTCCAAAACTACTACGATTACAATTACGATGGTTACTACTATGTATATTACTCTTAATTTTTTCGACTATATTTATTACTTTTACAAATTTGTACGCTAAAGGGCCTAGGTACTGAGGGGGATTTAGGGCGCATAGGGCTTGGGATTGAAGGTGGAGGTGTACGGCGATGCTCTTAAACCCCAAACTGCCGTATTGGCACGCCTCCAACATGCAAGTTGGCGTAGCAAGATCCTCCTTATCGGAGGTGGCCCCCGCAAAAGGACTCCCAGCTATCTGGGGCACCTGCCTGAGCCCCCAAGAACCTCCCTATACAATGATTGATCAAGCCCTGTGAAGCATCCTAAACCCCTAGTCCCTGAAGTTTCAGCTTCTACCCCCTCTCCCTGAGCCAAAACAACAGCGACCCAGGCCCTCTCAGAAGGAAGTCAAAGAAAACAAGACTCAGATCCTCTGAGATTCCCGTACCAAAGGCCGAAGAAACATCTAAGCACCTAAACCTTATACACTCAGAAGAGTGACGGGTATAGACGGTTTGTAAGAGGCCATTCAGGGAACACATGTAAAGCGGCGCATGCTGTTTTCTGTTAACCCAGATAGTATACATTTCGGTCCTGCTACAGTATGCTTTAGGGCCAAAGTATATACTGTATGGGAACATGGGGCCTTTGGGTTAGACTGTGTTTTGAATTGTGTGTTCACGGCTTTGTAGTAGTCTGCTTGGACGATCCGCCTGAAAGACCTCACCACCCCTGAGAAGAGAGAAACTTGAAACTGAGGTCTTCCTGATGCTGGCGAACCAGTTTACACTTATCGCCATGGCATCCTTGGCTCAACGTTTTGAAGAGCACCAACTGCCTCAGTATTTGCGCGAAGACGTGAAGATGCGAACCGCGTGAAGACGTCAACGGCGTCACGGCATCAACGGCTTTTTGAGTCCACGACATCAACGGCGTCAACCAAAAATGCGCATTGCTTGTGGGCATTACTGATATATATATATATATATATATATATATATGGTGCCCCCCCCCCCCCCATGGATCCACCTTTTTCGCCTTTCAAGTACGTGACGTC